GGTGGACTTAAGGTTGCGCTTTACAGAAGGAGGGACAAGGAAGTTTTAGTGATGATTTAGGACGAACCGGAAGCGCAACAGAAATGTTTAAAAAAAGAGAGCAGGAAATGTTTGGTGTGTGTGTGTGTGTGTGTGTGTGTGTGTGTGTGTGTGTGTGTGTGTGTGTGTGTGTGTGTGTGTGTGTGTGTGTGTGTGTCGCAGGGAGAAATCAGGGAAGTAGTATGATGAGAGTCAGGCAGGACCACAGTGACAGGTTCAGCCACGACTCGAAGTCCAGGACTCAAATGCAGGACTCAGGATAGAGGATCCAGGACCGCAGCAAAAGGATCAGCCACGACTCAGGATCCCGGCGTAGATAGACACCTAAAAGAAATTTGGGGTAAGCTGGGTTATTCGGAACATGAGAGTACACAGGTACAGACAGACAGAAGGAAGAAGTAAAGTGTCCCCCGACAGTCTAAGCCTACAGCAGCAAAACTAGGGGCTACATTTAATCAGCTCTAACCAGTGTTAATTTTGGCAGCTGTTTTTGATTTAGTCTTAGTCTTTAGACGAAAATGGTTATTAGTTTTAGTCATTCCTATTCTTCGTAGTTTTAGTATAGTTTTAGTCGACGAAAACTCAAAACGTTTTAGTCAACTTTTAGTCAAAATGTTTTCTCTCTTTAAACTAATTCAGTTAGGCAAATACAGGTATCTGAAATTGGAATCAATGTGACAGTATCAAGTGTTGAAATTCGTAAAGCAACATTTAATTCTCTTAACACTTTACTTGTGTAATATATAGGGATGGGCATCGCTAAGGTTTTTAACGGTACTACTACTCTTATCGATACTGCTCATCGATCCGGTACTTTAACGGTATTCTTGTATTTACTTTTTGTTATTTTTTAAAGGGCAACACTAAACAAATTGTTAACCGAATTAACATTGCTTTATTTACATGTGAAATAAATAAATAAAATATTTATAATTATGTTATTATATTGTACTGTACTTGAGTAAAATGTTTAGGTACTTTACATTTAAATGTTTAGCTACTTAGTACTTCTACTCCACTACAGTTCAGAGGTAAATTATGTACTTTTACTCCACTACATGTATTTAATACCTTTAGTTACTTTACAGATGTGGATGAATGATGTGAAATATAATCAAATGTTAAATCAGACTTTAGTAAATCCACAAGCTACACCGCAGTATACAAAGTCATTCAAACTAGCTGCACCTTTACCAGCTTTGAGAACACTTTAATGATCAATTATAAAACATATCATATATATTATTCTGAAATGGACCAATCTGCACAATGACTACTTTTACTGTCGCTACTTTCACTATATTTTGATGATCATAATTTTACTTGAGGAACTTTTCCTACACTACGGTATTTTTTTACTTAACTACAAGATCAATAAAAGAATGTACTTTTCCCACCTCTGCACACCTGATGTGATAACGTTACTCGTAATTGGGGCAACAGAGCTACGAGTTAAGGAAGTCGAAAATTGTGCATTTCTCCGATTGAATATGACGCCTTTTGGCCAGCTGTTTGGACAGACTACTCTGCTCGTGTCAACGCGCTTACACCATAACACTAATGGCAAATTAGCTTTTTACACAACGAGCCTTGTAGAGTGTCTCTATACTCTCACACACAGAGAGAGATCGCTCTTCTGGAGTGAAGAGAGCGGAAATAATCATATTGCAAGTTAGAAACGTAAGATGCATTTTGACAGACAAGATGGACACTTGGGGGAAAATATGCTGCATTTTGAATGTCCGATAGTCCACCATTAACACCTTAGTCCCGTCTCGTCCCGTCAACGTAAACTAAATATACTGTACATTTCGTCATAGTTTTCATTATCAAGAATCTATTTTTAGCTCGTCATCGTCTCGTCTTAGTCATGTAAAAAAGGTCGTTGA